GCCGCCGATAGCGTAGATTGAGGCCCCGACAGAGACAACCGCGTGCTCGTATCGTGGGAGACAGAGACGCTGGGGCATTATCTGCCAGCCAGCGTCAAGCGCCAGCGTGTCTAGAACTTCACATGTGTCCAGGAAGGAGGCTGATTGAAGAAGGGGAGCAAATAGAGTTGGCAGTGAGAGAGATGAGTCAAAAGATGTTTCGATGCTGGACAAACAGCCATTACACACTCACGTCCGTATCCCCCAATGGCGAAGATGCGTTGGCCCACCTTGCACAGGCCAAAGTCAGACCTGCTTGTCTGAAGACTCGGTCCAACTGTCCATCGAGCAGTTTCAGAGTCCAGAATGAATGTGCTCGACAGAACGGCTCCGCCTTGACGAGATCCACCAACTAGGAAGACACGACCGTCCTCCAATGCGATGGCCGATGCAAGGGAGATGGCCATTCCGTCCGGTAGTTGGCTCAGCCTCCAGGAGCGCCACTTAAGAGGTGCCGACAGCGAGACGCAAATCACGTCAGAAAGACGTCGGCATGTCTTTTCGTCCCAACCGCCGAAGAGGCAGATATTGTTGTGCTGTAGCATGCAAGAAAGGTGTATTGCAAGACTAGGTATGAGACTAAACCTAACAAACGACATGGAGGACCTAAAAGGGAAAATGTTACTCTTGAGCCAACTAAAACATCAAGCCTGCCTGGCGAGAAGCTCGCATCTGGTCTATTTGAGGCAGTATACCTGATTTAAGATGCAGCATAAGAAGAGCCAGACAAACGGCAGCCAAGAATAATGAGAGGTTTGGTTAGAGTTCAGTGTAGAAATGTAAAAATATCCTACCAAGAAATAGAACAAGTATAATGATCTGATAAGTTAAGGAAACACTGAAGCTCTCCGTCACAAAGTCGCACTAAACAGACGTGAAATCCTCCATCCGCCTTAGTCCGCTGCCCACCAGGGAGAAAAAGAATTAAAAATCAGCAAGCAATGCAGATGATAAATGATTATCTGTGCCAAAATCATGGTCTGCAAATGCATTCCAATCGGGAATAGTTCTAGTTTAAGTCTTTACTTAAGACAAAAATATGCAGTTCAACAGTACACATACTCAAGTGTGCACTTTGCCACATCTGGGAAAGATGAATGAGCAGTGTGTTAACTACCAGCATATCAATTATGGAAAGTTAAATTAACCAATTTTCAGACAGTTCTCGAAGTCCAACATGACATAAATTCTGGCATCACTAACATTATAGTCAACAGTAGAGTAAAAATAAAATTACCTATGGATAACTTAGCCTCAAGCCTAGTTCATGAGGAAATCGCGTATGGGTGTTTATGCTTAGCAGTGAAAACTTGTAATATAGAAAATAATATGCGGAAAAAAGAGGTACTTACTTTTTTGCTGCTGTAGCAATCAGTATTGTCATTTAGTTTCAATTCAGACAGAGCTGAGCCGATATCCTTAATTGTAAAAACAAGAATTTTAACATTTAGCTAAATTTAAAAGAGATAGGAACAAGTTACATAGTGTCTACGACTAAAATTTTAATTAATAGAAAGCCAATGCTATAAGTCTAAAGAAGCCTATGAAAATCAGTATATGGAATTCTCCAGTAAATTTATCCAGCCTAAATAGATCATACCAAGATTACAAGATGTTTGGGTTTAGCAGCCTACACCTAGTCAGCAAACCGGAAACAGGGTATACAG